CTGAGGATCGAACCCGGGCTGCACACATGCCAGGCAAGCGCGCTACCGCTTGAGCCACATCCCCAGCCCCCAGGACTAGACTCTTTTCATCGCAAAATTATTCCCTAAATGGTATCCGTATAGATACATGAATATATGGGGTGAAAAATGAAAATCCTTATAATAACCATCTTGGAGCAGCTTGTCTGGTGATTTACATTTTTCAAAGTAATTTCCATATCCATTTTCATTTATATTAAATGACAGGAGGTAAGCATCACAATCATTCCCATTTTGTTGACCAATACACTGCATTTAGAGAGACTCCCACCACCTCTGCTAGCTGAGAGGACTCCTGAAACTGAGGAACATCCTGTTCTCTTCCATCACACAGGGAGGCTTTGAGTGCACACTAGGCTACAAATGTGCTCTCAGATCTCCCTGACACAGCCTTTATGTACCCTGGATCTGTGCATTTAACCGCTGTCTATGGGACATAGAATTGTAGCTGTCTGTCCATGGTTTAACTCAGCATATTGACTTAAGTAAGGTAGATTAGCAACATCTTGATTAAAAAGAACTTGAAATCAGAGACTTTTGAATAAGCAATAATTTGATAAATTATAATGAGCCCATAAACTAGGCAAAAGAAAATTTAGAAGGGCATAAGAAGGAGAAAATAAAATTAAGGTGGAATTTCAAAATATTCGGTAAACAGAAGCTACACAAATGCAGGGAAAATTCTAGAGACCATCAACAGACCCTCCCTCATCTTAGGGGAACCAGAAAAAAACCAACAAGAAAACAAAGGCATTCCAGTGCCTGTGTTTAAGCAGAGCCAACGCAGACAAGCACACACCATTACCACTTATTAATAAAAGCTGCTATTTAGTCAATGTTAATATACATGCAAAGAAATGATGATATGGCCTTCATGTACATTGTATCACTTGCACCCACAATAATCATTAGATTTTTTTAGAAAATTTCTTCCAGTTTTTAGAAGAAATTGAAGCTCAGAGAGGTTAAGTAACTTGCTGGAAGTCACACATTTAATGGGTGATAAAGCCAGGGACTGAAGCCAGGAGTGTCAGATTAGTAGCCTTGACTTTTAGCCACTGAGACCTTCTGTAGGCAGTAGGTTTGCATAGACGCTGGTGTGCACTTTACTTGTAAATAACTCCCTTGCATAGGCATTCGTTTGGAAATGGCAGCAGGTAGAAGGCAGTGCCTAGCTCTCTTATATTCAACAAACAGGTGTGTAGAAAACTAGGGGCCAGATTCTTTAAAGTAAAGGCACTATGTTTTAATGGATTTTCAGACTTTACTGTTATATCTGTTTGTCAACATCAAATTACCCACTATTTTCGTGTGCATATTTTTGTGTGGCAAAATTATTAGGGTGTGAGAACATCAATGATTTATTCAAAATACAAACATGTGCCTATTAAAATTATGCAAGCAGATATATTTGTGTTTCATCATGTCTCACAACAATACCAGAATTTTCATATTCAGCTTGACCCCTGCATGTGGTCTGGCATGAGTTTATGTGAGTGGGAATTCTTGTTTTGTGAAATGAATGAATATCCCTGAGATAAATGAGAATGATGTGTGGGTTATTGATTCCTAAAAGTATCTAGGATGATTTACTATAAATCATGAATTATATTCTATTCTTCCATTTTAATATTTTAATCATAACTCTCCAGCCCTCAAGTAGTGTCTCTTGCCCAAGAATTACATAACCTTAATTCAGTATAGTGCCCTTGAAGACAGAAGCCAAACAAATAGTAATTCCCTGTTAGGAAATGGACCAACTAAAGCACTTGTGAATTGGCTAAGGAAATGGAGTAGAAGGTTCCAGAAAGTGGCTTCATAGAATTAGTAAATCCCACCACCAAGACCAGTGCCAGCATCCCCACAGTCTAGTCCAGGAGTCAGCGAACTGTAGCTCCCGGGCCAAATGTCCCACCACCTGTTTCTGTATATCCCACAAGCCAAGGATACTATTTACACTTTTAAATGGTTGGGGAAACACACACACACACATACAAACATACATGCACACACATACAAAATAGGAATAATATGGTGTGGTATGTGAAAATTATGTGAAATTCAATTTCGAATCTATAAAGAAAATTTTCTTGGCATAAGCCCACCACCCGTTTATTTACATGTTGTCTCTGGCTGCTTTTCTGTTATAGCAGGAGAGTGGAGCAGTTTCCACAGAGATTGTGTGCCCATGAACTCTAAAATGTTCATTCTGTGGCCCTTTACAAAAAAAAAAGACTGCTGCTTCCTGATCAGAGCATGAACCTCACCCCTCGTCCAAGGCCTGCTGGGTGCAGGAAGATACTAGGTCTGCACAGGCGCCTTGGCCAACCTCAATCATTCCATCTCTCTCATTCTGGAAGGCACATGAGACAGAGCTGTGTAAGACACAGTCTCCAACTCTAAGAAGCATGCTATCTAGGAGATAAAACACACTGAAAATGCAAAGGCCACAAGCACAGGACAAAAGGTACCAGGAAAGACTCAGTATTTATCTTTATCAATCTATTTATGGGTCGGGCATGGTTGCACACATCTGTAATCCCAGCAGCTTGGGAGGTTCAGGCAGGAGGATCATGTGTTCAAAGCCAGCTTCAGCAAAAGTGAGGCACTAAGCAATTCAGTGAGATCCTGTCTCTAAATAAAATACAAATTAGGGTTGGGGATGTGCCTTAGTGGTTGAGTGCCCCTGAGTTTAATCCTCAATGTGTGTGTGTGTGTGTGTGTGTGTGTGTATAAAATTTTTTTTTATTTGCAGTACTGGGGATTGGACCCAGGGACACTCTCCATAGATCTATATCTGCATCCCCTTTAAATTTTTTTTTTCTTTTGTTTTGAGACCAGGTCTCCCTGAATTGCTGAGGCTGGCTTCAAATTTGCAATTCTTCGTCCTCAGCTTCCTACTTCCCCGGGATATCCCTGGGATAACAGAAGTACCTAAATTGTGATGTTTATAATGGGAACTGGTTAAGAGCCCTCA